TAACTATACCATAAAGTCTACACCACTCTTATTTTCATAATTTCCTCACTCACGCTCATGGTGTGCCTCTTTTAGGAAATACTATAGTAAATATACTATAGTATTTAACATACAATATATATTTATATATATATATATATTTTAATATACTATAGTATATTAAAATCTGGGAAAAATTATGTCCAGTCTAACTTCTTCAATCAACATTCTTGAATCAGAGTGGACAAAATCAGATTCTGCAGCATTCCTTTACAGACTTTGGCTGAAACAGGGCCTATCTTTCCTTGGATGAACTAAATGTATCTATGCCTACATGTGAGTCATTAGCTTTCAAAATTCAGTGTTAGTTAATTTTGGCCAGGAAAATGCTTTATTTGGGAACAGCAAGCTTTAATAATAAGGTGGGTAAACAGGGATGAGAACTACTTTTCCCCAGAAGATATAGGGCATTCAAAAGAGAGAAAAAGGTATATGTGTATGAAAGTGTTATGATTAATTTGCTGCAATGACTACTCAGCTATAGCAGAAAGCTGCGGAAAATAAACTGAAAGGTAAATAATTAAAGGTCATATGTAGATTTTTATTTCTTAAGGTTTGCACTTTATCTGGCAGATCAATTGTTTTAAAACTTTTGTGTAGAACAGGAGGGCTTTTTTGTAGTAGGTGCTATTACTTATTCACTATATTTCATGCCCTCTATACCCCCATCATGGCTTCACTATGGGTTGAGCATGTTTCTTTATTATGTGACATCGTAGGCCAATGTCATTTGAGCACATAGGAGCTGAGCAGACTCTGAAATGTGCTTGTATTGTTTGACCTGTCTCTGTTGCTTCCGCATGTTCATGAAGAAAGAGGCCACAAACGGCCACTCATACCAGAAAGAAAGACACGAGGAGGAAACCTCAAGTACCTGCAGCAAAACCACCTGAACCAATCCAAAGACCTGTGGACAAGAAAAGTAAATGTTTGCCATTGTAAGACACTGACATCTGAAAGATCTTCATTACATGGCATAATCACAGTAAATGGTGAATTTATCTTTAAATATAATTTTAGCTGTGCCGAACAAATAAAAAAAAAAGTGGAATTATAGTTGATTGGGTATGAGACACTCAAAGCACGGCCTGAGTTAGCTTCTCTTTTGCCTATTCCTGGTGGCTTTGGTTTGAAAAGAAATTCAAGTTATCTGGGAGTATAAAAGGATTTTAGGTGGAGGAATGATCTAATCAGATTTCTGCATGTTCATATGTGTGCATGTTTTAAGTCTAGCCTAACAGAGAGAGGATAAATAGAAGAGGAGGAGAAGAAAGGCCCAAATGAAGACCTAAACTGCGTAGTGGGAGAAAGATAGAGAAATGGATTTAAGACATTTATTGGGGTAACTGACGTGGCTAGAAGATCAACTGGAAAAGGTCTGAGGAACAGTTCCCCCCCACACACAATATGAATGTGTATATATATATATATATATATTTTTAATTTTTTAATGTTTTATTTATTCTTGAGAGAAAGAGAGACAGAGCATGAATGAGGGAGGGGCACAGCGAGAGAGGGAGACAAAAAATCGGAAGCAGACTCCAGGCTCTGAGCTGTCAGCACAGAGCCCGACGTGGGCTCGAACTCACCAGCCATGAGATCATGACTTGAGCTGAAGTGGGTCGCTCAACCGACTGAGCCACCCAGGCGCCCCAAATGTATATATTTAAAACAACAAAGATCTAACGTTTCTACTTTCTGTTTTAAGTCATTTGACAGGCAGAACAAAGAGGTGAGAAATGGAGCTTCACACAGTGTTAGATGAGCACAAATATAACATGTGACACAGGAGGAAAGTTGGACAAAATGATGAAAACTTGATATGCAGGAAATATTAATAAATCATACATCATTTGGTTTCCCTCTTATTTAAATTTCAATCAGAATAAGAATGCAGACGACGATGATGATGATAAGTATTTTAAAATCATGACTTCTCTAAGTAAGGAAATTATAAAGCCATCAGCCAGCCTGACAGATTGAAATGAGAAACTACCAGAGAATTTTGAAAAATAAAGAAAATTACAGTTTTAATTGTCAGAATAGTAGAAAAGAGCATGAGTTCTGGCATGAAATAAAATGGTAGCTAAAGAGAAGATAATATACAGTGGTAAAGATCCTTTGGTTTCCATGGTCTCTCCACAACTACTGTTTGAAGCAATCAGGATCCTCACACATGTCAATCTCTCAGGAATCGTGTGTAAGTCAAGTGAGAGTCCTGAGCAGTGGCCGCCATATGGAAACAATAACAGGTCAAAGAGGAATTGGAGACAAGTGCTCCTGCTCAGGAAGATCTCAGTGGAGGCCAAAGGGTTTAATCGTCTGGTTCCCTAATTTATCTTCTCATAACAGCACCCTCAGATCTTGATGGTGAATCAGAGCACTAAGCATCACTTCAAGAAAGTAAGTGCTTAGCTGTGGATCACAGGCCAGGTCTGCTTTGATGCTCAGGGCTTGCAGACTGGTGAATTGGAAGCTTGAAGTTTCCACATTGAAGGAAACAACTTTGATATAAGCCTTGGGGCTGAAATATCAAGAAAGGACTTCTAAGAATCAATTGATGATAAAAGCTCTACCCTGTTTTAACTTACTTTTGTGTATGTGAAAAGAATAGCACCAATTATTCTGTTTGCGAAGCTGGTTGCTTGTTCCTGGTGGCAGGATACCCATACTTCATAGTGAAAGGATGCTAACCCACAGAGAAATATCAAATTAAACCTTTAATGTAAGGAAAAAATATCAAGAACCTTAGAACCTTCAGAAAATATTTCCACTTAAGCAATATCAGATGGAATAGAAAGTATAAATATTCAGCTGCTTTAGTAAATGTGTAAATAATGAGGTCAGAGGCTCTTTCCTATTAAATAGGATGAACTAATGCAAATAGTTGCAAGTAATGAGAACATCCAAAATAAAGCTTATTGGGCTTAAAATTCAGAAGAAAGTAGAATAATATGAGGTCATGAGTCAATGTGAGATTATGTAAGGTTTGCAGTTATTGGAAAAGTTATTGCAACATAAGACATCCTCATTGCAGAAAAGAATGGCGAGAAACTAAATGATCATAGTATTGGAACGATAAGATATTAACAGGTAATTCACAGAAAAAAATATAAATAACCATTAAACATATAAAACGGTGCTCAATTTCCTTTAGATTATAGAAATTAAAATTAAAACTATAATGAGTATAAGGAGATTCCATATTTTATCTACAAGACTGTCAAAAGTCAAAAGACTTACCACACAGTCTTTGCTGGCAAGCCATGTTCTCATATAATCCTTGTGGAAATAAAAATAATTTTCTATTAAATTAAATAAACATTATAAGGAGAGAGAGGCCTTTATGAGGGCTGCATGAACCAATGGTGACCATGAACTTAGGAGAATGATTAAGTGAGTAATGCACCTAAAGTTAAAAAAAAAAAATGGCTGGAGTATAAAAAAAAAAAAAATGACCGTTTAATTTATTTTTATTTTACTTATTTTTTAAATGTGTATTTATTTATTTTGACGGAGAGAGAGAAAAAGAGAGAGAGAGAGAGAGAGAGAGAGAGGAGGGAGTGCACACACAAGCAGGGGAGGAGCAGAGAGAGAGGGAGGGAAAGAGAATCCCAAGCAGGCTACATAGTTAGCTCAGAGCCTGAAGTGGGGCTCAAACTCACAAACCGTGAGATCATGACCTGAGCCAAAATCAAGAGTCAGACGCTTAACCGACTAAGCCACCCAGGCACCCCAAAATGATGGTTCCATTTAAATATGAAATGACACCTAGCATCAACTTTCCCAAATATAAATAATATTTTTTGACTGTTTATATGCCTTTAGTACAACATACAATATATCACATAAATTATTCAGTCATCTATCAAGTATTTCTTAATTTTATACTTCATTCTGAGACTTCATTTGGATGTTATGAATATAAAAATGAATCAAATATACATCTTGCCTTCAAGCTGCTCATAATCTAGTGAACAGACAGAAACTGAGCACACAGTTTCAATACAGAATGTTAATATGTTAGAATGACAGACTTGGTTTGAGAAAATATGGAACATTTCAATTAGAATAAAGCTGAGTATTTTAAGTACTCTGGCTTACTTGTTATGGCCAATTTCTTCCTTTACTGTCCAAGCAAAATATTTCATCCCTTTTCACTTCTCAACCTTCCAACACTTCCTTCCCCATTGTTACTTTAAATTGATAACCTTACTTCTTCTTTCACTGAAAAGTTCGATAGCTCAAGACTATCACATCTACTTACTGTGTCTGTGCCCAGTTACTCTCTTTTATATTACTGGGGAAGATTTGCCCATGTTCTTAACTACGGCCAAACTTTCCATTTTTCTAGTAGATTCTATCAGCTTTTTCACTCTCAAAACATTCTTCTACCAATGATCCTCTTTATTTTCTGCATTATAATTTTTTTCTGTTACTGTGACCATTACAATCAGAATAAATATGCACCCACCAAGACACTAAAATTGTTTTTGTCAAGATCACCAATGACCTCTATATAATTAAGCTTAACTGTTAATTTTTAGCTCCCATATTATGAACTATAAGCAGCATTTTACACAGGTGATCATTTCTTTCTCCTTGAAATGTTTTCTTTGCTTGGATTCTAAAGCTCCTGATTCTCCTGGATTTCTTATTATCATTGGCTGTTTGATTCCTTTCCCGATTTCTCATATCCTTCATCTTTTAATGTTGGAATACCAACAAGGCTTCTTTTCCTTGATTCTCTTTTTACAGCATTCTTAGCATTTACTTCTTGGTCATCTCATCCTTTCTCTTGACTTTAATAACATTGATATGTTAACAATTTCATAATTTACATCTCCAATTCAAAACTTTCCCCTGAACACCTCAGTCTCTCTCTGTTTCTCTCTCTCTCTCTCTCTCTCTCTCTCTCTCTCTCTCTCTCTCACACACACACACACACACACACACACACATACATACACACAAATACGCACACACATAGGCCCATATATAAGCTTTCCACTTTGGTGTCCATTTGAAATCCCATAAATAACAAAACTAGAGGTGAATTTTGAATATATTCTTTGCAAAACATAAGTTTTATCCCCTTCTGTCACAGAAATCCACTTTAGATTTTCAAGAAATAACAGGCATTTGATACTTCCAAACAAGATACTGAGTCTTTTGTTGTTCCCCTAATTCACAAATTCTGTAAGAGCAAACACTTTGTGAAAATTCAGGAAAATGTGGCTAGGAATTTAAGTAGGCCAATCATTACATATATCATTGCATATATGAAAACGTGTAGAAAACAATGTCTCTTTGAATATAGCTGCTAAATTTCCCTCCCAATGCCATGGCATGGGTACAGGGTATGAGATTCAAATTTGTGATGCACACATTACCACAACTCATTATGAGCTTTCAGGGTTATTCACAAATAATGAGAATGTTAAATCCTCATATGCCCACAAACTCCTACAGTATTAATTAGATTCTGCATGAAATTTTAACATAGATTATCAATATACTGTCCCCCATATATGTCTTGTAGGAGCAATTAAATCTTTAACCCATCTCTGATTACTCCAACCCATAGAAATATTTATCTGTCAGAACTTCCAGAATAAGTAATATTTATACCGCATATATACAAGAGTTGGCAAATACCTCAAAGGGTCCTGAGTCCGCATTCCATTATTAACTCTATTCTCAGATACAGACCTAAATTTAGGAGAGATAAAGCAAATTATCAAAGCAGAGTCACATACTTTCCTTATATTTAGTTTACTTTTATAATTTGACTAACCCTGTTATAATAACTATCAATAATAAATTATTAAAATAATTATAATACCTAAAATCAGACTACCAATCTCTAGTGAAATGTTCTAAGGCTCAGATACTGAGATCATAAGAATGATCTAATAAATATCTTTTGATTAGTGGATTATAAAAGCTATATAGTAGAGGGCAACATAGTGAGGTTTCTCAGCCCTCACAAAATCAGTGTATATAAGGGCAAAAGTTGAAGAATAAATTTTTGTCTAAAGGTATTCTCATGTACAATCGTCCTACTACCACGGGAAACTGAGAATGACCATTCATACTATAATCTTTCCATTTCAAAAAACTCAAGTTTTTAGAGAAAAAAAAATCTCAAAAATCTAAAGGTTTACCAAAGAACCTTCTTCACTGAGATTGCTTGACAAAAGTATAGTTTAACAGTAAATTTGATAAACGTTAATTTCCAAAATGTAATTAAAGCAAAATAGTTCTTGAAAGGAATATACGGGATCTTTTCTAAAGATAACTTAATAATATCACAACACTAACAAGATGAATTCATGTGTAGATTTCTTTTATTCCAGAAACCAAATTATATCTAACAATAAGAAAACAAAACAAAACAAACTCTTCAAATCTACCTAAGCATTGCTGGCAAAGAAAAAATAGTACTCGGAATAAAATTTTAAATAGAAACTCACTGTGCATAAAACCACACTACAGAAAATAGATGTAAATGGACATTTTTTTTTTCTCAACAATCACGGGCAAGAGAAGAACTAATTGAAAACCAATAAATTAAGTACAGTGCAGCAAGCGGTCTCTAGCTAACTCGGCCTATACATCAATAGGTCATTCTCAGTTAATTAAGTGAAGGCATAATCAGCTTAATTTATGTAGTTCACAGAAGTTAATGATATCATAGTACAGTACCTGACGTTTGGCCTGTCCTTACAACTTGTTTTATATGTTCAGTTCATTTTGCTGTTCCTCAGCATGGGCACTTTATTGCTATAGCTCACCTCCAGTGTTTCTCTTCCTGCAGAAAATGGGAAATGTAACAGTGAAAAAAAATGAAAATCCAAAGATCACTTAACAAAAACTTATTGTAAAAATGACATGATGTTTCAGTGAACTACTTTGCATTATATAAATATCAACTGCAGCAATGCGCAGAGGTTTTCTGTATAAATAAAAGCAAATGTTAAAATAAGATTAATGTAAATGTATATAATATGCACATATAGATATTAACAAAACAGGGAAGGAACTTTTAAAATATTGTGCAATCATCACATATAAGCACGAACTTGATAGATGTAAGAATTATCTGGTATATTTGTAAATTGTGCTGCATTTCAACACTAGTTACACTTGGTACTGAATTCTTCTTTCTCAGGGAGAGAGTTTCTTTCCACTGTCTCTGTAGCTCATCTTCTCTTTTCTGAAGCTGCAAGTTTACACACAAAGACAAACCACAATGTCAACCAATTGGACCTCACTTAAGGAACCTAGGAGATCGATTTGTAAAGCAAAGAATGAACAGGACCCTATTTCTGAAGTACGTTGCTCAAACTGCTCTTTCATTAAAAGATGCTCTTTCTTATTGATTTTGGCTTAAGTAATGAGAAAGCTTATCCAAAAATCTTTAGCATTTGGGCTCAAGTTAAGGAAATCAATACAGTCATTTCCCATTTGAACTGCATATGTGAGTTTTATGTACGAGAGACAAGACAAAGCCAAATTCAGATAAATCAATAACATTGTCAATAGAACATGAAACTGACAAATGGCGTTTTTCAGCAATTAAAGTGAGTTGTAAATATACAAAGACTAATCAATTACAATGTTTTGTCATTAACAGTTTTTAATTGGTACAAAAGTTATGTGTGAATGTGACTCCCCAGGAATGAAGAATAGAGAACCTACCTCAGCATCACGTGGGACCATTTCACTAATATTTTATAAATATACAGATAACTTTATATCTGACAAAACAAATTACGATCTTCATTAGGCAGACTGTATTTGAATATCAATTAATCTATATAAGCCGGTGAAATATTTTAGAAACACAGAAAGTATACACATGCAGTAGCCTTTCTTCCGGAATGTACTATTTTTAAACACCATTTTAAATTTTCCAAGATTTTATAATATATTTTTGTATCTATTAATTGAACAAAATTAAAATAACTTGAATTTAATTTGAAATAGTAGCATTATTCCTACATTGGAAGAGTAAAAGTAAAGTAAGCATTACATTTCTTTCATGGTTGTATTCTAAAAATACAAAAAACAATTTAAATATATATTTTGGTTATACATACAGAATTCTAGAATTTATTCAAGTATCTTTTAAAAGTATTCTGTATCAATGATAATCTGCAATAAAATACTGAGCCGTTATGGTGTGCCATTATCCTAAAGTATTCAGGAAAATTGCAGTACAGATAGCCAAATATAATTCATAATATACTAAGATAGGCATATCATTAAAATGCAGATAAAACCTTTGTTTTTAATAAAAAATGATATAACAAAAGTAAAAGGTTAATTGAAAAGCAAAATAAACTACCGAATTTAGTAAGGCACATTACCTAGATTAACAGAAATCAATGAAATCATTAAAACAATTAATAACTTAGAGCTCCGTTCAGACTAAGATAAACTCTGTGGCTATTAGAATGCGGATACAAGGCTACAGAGACATATCTATTCTGACTGGGTAATTTCCTCTCCTCTGTAACAGTTCAGTAATATATGCAACTGGCATTATACGGCCACCCATTTCTTCTTGTGAGACAAGAGATCTTTCATGCTTTTTTGCTATTTGTGTTAAGTGAGTCATAAGAACCATAGTCTTTACAGAAGGGAACATACTTCCCCCCAGTGTTCAGGATATAAAATGAGCCATTAAAGCATCAATAGTATTAATCAAAGCCTCATCATTGTTCAGACTCTTCCTTGGATAGAAAATGTACAGAGTTCTACCCATCCTCCAGTCATAAACAGGAACATATATACAGCAAGCCCAGCACAGATATCTTTCTAATTAACTCTGAGGGTCACCTAAAGCCAGCATGTACTTCTCTGAAGATAATAGCCTGGTAAGTAACTGAAAATAAGCAAATTTATCACTTCATGAGTTACAAAATCAGAACAAGTTATAAATGCTTTTTACCTGATGCATTTTTTAAAAAGGAAGTGAAATTCTACAAACAGAATAAAAATGTAAGGTAATGATATGAAACAGAAAAGGATACTTAAGTTTTAACCCCATTCCAAAGCTTTAGCCTTGCTCTAAAGGAAGTTCATATCTTAAGTCTTACAAAACAAAAACACAAGTGACGTTTTAAATCTGTTTCAAGGCTTCATTGCCACCACGCTCAAAATTCATACTGAATATCACATACTATTTTTGTCTTTTATCACTGAGACTAAAACCAGAACTATACTGGTGCTCTCCAATAGCAATATGATTTTAGAACAATTCATTTTTTTAGATAAAAATCTCTGTATTCAATAGGAAAAAAGAGCACATTTTGTTAATTACTTTAATCTCTAGCTATGGAAATGCAAATTATTAGTAAATGTTTAAGAAGTAATATACAAGCAACCGAAAGCTAAAATCTTGTTTTTGAAAAGGATTCTGATGAATAGTACTACAGAAGCTTGTTCTATATAAACATCTAAGAAACTACTTTAACAATTTATAAATATCAATAAACTAAGTAGAAAATAGTATAGTAAAAAAGAAAATGTTCATTATTAATCCTATAATCTAAGGAAATGGATATCTCAATGCTAAAGAGGTAGCATTGGGGAGCCTGGGTGGCTCAGTGGGTTGAGTGTCTGACTTCCGCTCAGGTCATGATCTCACGGTAATTGGGTTCAAACCCCGTCAGGCTCTGTGCAGACAGTGTAGGCCCTGCTTGGGATTCTCTCTCTCTCTCTCTCTCTCTCTCTCTCTCTCTCTCTCTCTCTCTCTCTCTCTCTTCCCCTCTTCCGCTCATACTCTGTCTCTCTCAAAATAAATAAAAATTTTTAAAAAACATCCAAAAAAGAGGTAGCATGATTCATGTAGACAATATATATTAGACAAAATCTTGGGGCGCCTGGGTGGCTCAGTTGGTTGAGCGTCTGACTTCGGCTCAGGTCACGATCTCGCGGTCCATGAGTTCGAGCCCGTGTCGGGCTCTGGGCTGACGGCTCAGAGCCTGGAGCCTGCTTCCGATTCTGTGTCTCCCTCTCTCTTTGCCCCTCCCCCGCTCATGCTCTGCCTCTCTCTGCCTCAAAAATAAATAAACGTTAAAAAAAATTAAAAAAAACCAAAATCCTACAAGTACAACAAATGCAAATTAAACAGTTACACTAAAACTGAATTGCAGGGGGCTCTGGAGGCAGATAGACCTTGGTTTGACACTGTTCTGCCATTTGCTAGCTGTGGTGAGACATGAGGCATATTTTTATTTTTCTCTGAGTTTCCTTATCTGTAAAAAGTAGAGAAAATAAAAGAGCATCCTCGCGTTGTAAAGATTAGATCAGATGATATATGTTATCCTTGGCCTCACACATATTAGGTCCATACTAAGTGTTTCCTGACCAAATGACTTAGTTTACTAATGAATAAACATTAGTCTTATTATAATGCAGAGTTTAAAAATATTGAAATTTCAAAATATATTGCTGATCAAGTCATTTTACATAAATGTAATTCAGGTTCTATCTCTGTAAACTCCTAAGATTCCCTGTTATCTCTCTATAAGAGTACTTCCACTATTTGATAATTGTCTTTTTATTTGTCCCTTATGTTACAACACTGGAAATTCTTGGGGATAGGAACCATATTTTACTCATTTTTTTGTATATCTGACATGACAAGTACTTCAGTAAATGTTGATTGGATTAGTAAATGAATTAACATTGTGTTTGAGAGTGAATTGTTTAGGACTTATTATATATTACATACTCTGCAAAGCACTTTATATAAATTATCTCATTTTAGTCCCCCAAAGAATACTCTATATATCATTGCTATTCCAATATTCTAGATGTGTAAACAGACGAGAGATTAGGTAACAGCCAAAATCACATGAATGGTAAATGGTGGAGGTTCCAAGTTACCTAAATCACTGCATTAATTGCCTTGGTCCAGCTGACTTCTCATTTTTACAGGTTCAGAAACTGTATATAATCAATTTTCCAAGAAAGATCAGGTCCTCGTTTATTGATGCAATGTAACTAAATGTTTTTATTAATATGAAACTTATTGTCAAATTGGTTTCCATACAACACCCAGTGCTCATCCCAACAGGTGTCCTCCTCAATACCCATCACCCACCCTCTCCTCCCTCCCACCCCCCATCAACCCTCAGTCTGTTCTCAGTTTTTACAAGTCTCTTATGTTTTGGCTCCCTCCCTTTCTAACCTTTCTTTTTTTTTTTTTTCCTTCCCTTCCCCCTTGGTCTTCTGTTAAGTTTCTCAGGATCCACATTAGAGTGAAAACATATGGTATCTGTCTTTCTCTGTAACTAAATGCTTTAAGAGACCAAAGCTTAAATTTATTAATTTCTAATACAGTATAAAAATGCTAAGTAAGCCAAAATATTATTTTCTGTGTTTCCTTATCTCACCTTTAAAAGACTACATGAGCTATCAAATTGTTCACCCTTTCAGCAAATCTTACTGGCCACTCATTATGTAGTAAGTGTTGAAGATAAAGCAATAAACTAGATGGGGGAACAAGAGCCAGGCTTCTATGTTCTAGCTAATTCTTATTTGATACTTACTGTGTGCCAGGCAGTAAGCACTTTACATTTATTAATTAACATAATCTTCATAATAGCTTTATGAAACTGTTACCGTTATTGCCCAATTTTGCCAATGAAGTAAAAGAGGTTAAAGCATAAGGTTAAAGTTTTAAGAGCTTCACTTACAGTTTGGACCAGGCTTTCTGTACAATGAACTTATTACAGTCCAGGCAAGGGAGCTGTGTGTTAGTGGATCACGTCACTCAGCCTGATGGGATGCTAAGAG